AGGGGAGCAGGGAAGCAGGAAAGCAGGGAAGCAGGGAAGCAGGGAAGCGGGGAATCAGGGGAGCAGGGGAGCTGGGAAGCAGGGAAGCAGGGGAGCAGGGGAGCAGGGAAGCAGGGGAGGAGGGGAGCAGGGGAGCAGGGAAGCAGGGAAGCAAGGAAGCAGGGAAGCAGGGGAGCAGGGGAGCAGGGAAGCAGGGGAGCAGGGAAGCAGGGGAGCAGGGGAGCAGGGGAGCAGGGGAGCAGGGAAGCAGGGAAGCAGGGGAGCAGGGAAGCAGGGAAGCAGGGGAGCAGGGGAGCAGGGAAGCAGGGGAGCATGGGAGCAGGGGAGCAGGGGAGCAGGGAAGCAGGGAAGCAGGGAAGCAGGGAAGCAGGGAAGCAGGGGAGCAGGGGAGCAGGGGAGCAGGGGAGCAGAGGAGCAGGGAAGCAGGGGAGCAGGGAAGCAGGGGAGCAGGGGAGCAGGGGAGCAGGGAAGCAGGGAAGCAGGGAAGCAGGGAAGCAGGGGAGCAGGGGAGCAGGGAAGCAGGAGAGCAGGGAAGGAGGGAAGCAGGGGATCAGGGGATCAGGGGAGCAGGAAAGCAGGGGAGCAGGGGAGCAGGGAAGCAGGGAAGCAGGGGAGCAGGGGAGCAGGGAAGCAGGGAAGCAGGGGACCAGGGGAGCAGGGGAGTAGGGGAGCAGGGGAGCAGGGAAGCAGGGAAGCAGGGAAGCAGGGAAGCAGGGGAGCAGGGAAGCAGGGAAGCCGGGGAGCAGGGAAGCAGGGAAGCAGGGGACCAGGGGAGCAGGGGAGCAGGGGACCAGGGAAGCAGGGAAGCAGGGGAGCAGGGGAGCAGGGGAGCAGGGAAGCAGGGAAGCAGGGGAGCAGGGGAGCAGGGGAGCAGGGGAGCAGGGGAGCAGGGAAGCAAGGGAGCAGGGAAGCAGGGAAGCAGGGGAGCAGGGAAGCAGGGAAGCAGGGGAGCAGGGGAGCAGGGGAGCAGGAAGCAGGGGAGCAGGGGAGCAGGGGAGCAGGGGAGCAGGGAAGCAGGGGAGCAGGGAAGCAGGGAAGCAGGGAAGCAGGGAAGCAGGGAAGCAGGGAAGCAGGGGAGCAGGGGAGCTGGGAAGCAGGGAAGCAGGGGAGCAGGGGAGCAGGGAAGCAGGGGAGCAGGGGAGCAGGGAAGCAGGGGAGCAGGGGAGCAGGGGAGCAGGGAAGCAGGGAAGCAGGGAAGCAGGGGAGCAGGGGAGCAGGGAAGCAGGGGAGCAGGGAAGCAGGGGAGCAGGGGAGCAGGGGAGCAGGGGAGCAGGGAAGCAGGGAAGCAGGGGAGCAGGGAAGCAGGGAATCAGGGGAGCAGGGGAGCAGGGAAGCAGGGGAGCAGGGGAGCAGGGGAGCAGGGCAGCAGGGAAGCAGGGAAGCAGGGGATCAGGGGAGCAGGGGAGCAGGGGAGCAGGGAATCAGGGGAGCAGGGAAGCAGGGAAGCAGGGGAGCAGGGAAGCAGGGAAGCAGGGAAGCAGGGAAGCAGGGAAGCAGGGAAGCAGGGGAGCAGGGGAGCTGGGAAGCAGGGAAGCAGGGGAGCAGGGGAGCAGGGAAGCAGGGGAGCAGGGGAGCAGGGAAGCAGGGGAGCAGGGGAGCAGGGGAGCAGGGGAGCAGGGGAGCAGGGAAGCAGGGAAGCAGGGGAGCAGGGAAGCAGGGGAGCAGGGAAGCAGGGGAGCAGGGGAGCAGGGGAGCAGTGGAGCAGGGAAGCAGGGAAGCAGGGGAGCAGGGAAGTAGGGAAGCAGGGGAGCAGGGGAGCAGGGAAGCAGGGGAGCAGGGGAGCAGGGGAGCAGGGGAGCAGGGCAGCAGGGAAGCAGGGAAGCAGGGAAGCAGGGAAGCAGGGAAGCAGGGAAGCAGGGGAGCAGGGAAGCAGGGGAGCAGGGGAGCAGGGAAGCAGGGGAGCAGGGAAGCAGGGAAGCAGGGGAGCAGGGAAGCAGGGAAGCAGGGAAGCAGGGAAGCAGGGGAGCAGGGGAGCAGGGGAGCAGGGGAGCAGGGGAGCAGGGGAGCAGGGGAGCAGGGGAGCAGGGAAGCAGGGGAGCAGGGAAGCAGGGGAGCAGGGGAGCAGGGAAGCAGGGGAGCAGGGAAGCAGGGAAGCAGGGGAGCAGGGGAGCAGGGGAGCAGGGGAGCAGGGGAGCAGGGGAGCAGGGAAGCAGGGAAGCAGGGAAGCAGGGAAGCAGGGGAGCAGGGGAGCAGGGGAGCAGGGGGGCAGGGGAGCAGGGGAGCAGGGGAGCAGGGGAGCAAGGGAGCAGGGGAGCAGGGGAGCAGGGGAGCAGGGAAGCAGGGGAGCAGGGGAGCAGGGGAGCAGGGGAGCAGGGGAGCAGGGAAGCAGGGGAGCAGGGGAGCAGGGAAGCAGGGGAGCAGGGGAGCAGGGAAGCAGGGGAGCATGATTCCATCCTCCTCATCCCTCTGCCCCACTCTAGTTCGACCTTTCTCCCCTTCTCCCTCTGCTTGCATGCCTGCTTGTGTTCTGCTATTTTACTTTGCCGTAGATGTCCGGTAGCCCGCGTAGTATCTCTGTTCCGGGGCGTCTACAATCTCATCTCATTTCTGCCCATCTTCCTACCGCATTTCCAACCCCCCCCCTCCCCACCCCCCTCCCCCCCGCCCCCCCCGTTTTCTTACATCAGCGCTCCTTCCTCTTCTCCCGCAATCATCTCGCAGCTTTGGCTGCAATATACAGTGCCGCGTTCGCCTTCCTTGGCTGCATAGCCCAGCGCAGTTTGAGAATTATTCACAGGCTTGTAAGAGTCTCTTGTTTCCACCAATGCAATATTCGACACACCTTACACACTCCCTTTCCCTACCTTACCCGTTCTGGCCCTTCACCATACTCTCTGTCCCGTTGTACTTCTCGCACCAACCTGCCTTCTTGGCCATTCCTCTTCACTCGCGCACAGAGCGCATGTGTGTGCTTGCAGCATCAACCAACTCGACTCTCCTCGATGCCCCTCAACCAGCGGCAAATACAGCCAAACGTCACACCTTCAAGTTTCCTTTCCTATCTCCTCACCCCATTCACTCCCCACGTCTCTCTCCCTACGTCTCCGCTGCTACTGTTGGCAAGCAGCAGGGTGGATGCGGTTGGATAGCACCGGCATGTTGTTGAGGGCCATGCCATGGGGCGAGAGGAGCTTCTTTCTCAGCCCGATCACTCACAGCAACTATCATGTGTGTCCAGATGTGGCATCAGGGAGTGGATGGGGTTTGCAGCACGGTTAAGTGAATCTGGGGGTGGGGGTTCAGGAGATGGACTGGGGGAAGGGGCATGGGTAGTGTACTCGGGGGGGATGGCATGCTTCAATGAGCTGAGGAAATGAAAGTTCGGGATGGTGGGGAGATGTTGTTTTGAGTGAGGGCATAAAAAATATGGTGGGGGTCGATGCCATTGGGGAAACTAATGGATGAATCAGCAGTAGCAGAGTTCTTGGAGAAAGTGTATTGGTTTGAAGGGGTTGAGGTGTTTGAGATGCTAAACGAGTGGCAAGGAGGCCCAATGGTTCAGCGATTAGTGTACAGGGAGGTGACAAGGTGCATTTCCCATGCTGCTGCCGCTCACTATTCACAGGGTGCATAGAAGGAATGACACAGGGGCAGCAACGGAAAAGCGTGTGAATGAATGTAGTAGCACGGGAATTCCTGGATGGGTGATAACAGACAGGTTGTGGAATGTTGGTTTGGCTGGGAGGGGTATAAATAACCAGTTTGCTTCAATTCAGTGGGACAGTGAAGTGAAGCCCTCTAGTGGCATTCCCACCAGGTACGTACGGTGTGGCCTTTTCACATGAGTCTGTTTTGCCTGTTACCTTCCCCGCCAACCCCCATGTTAATGCATGGTTAATGCATGTTGCACTCTCAAATCGAATCCTATTCATATTTTTGCCGACAATTTCTTCCCCCACTTTCCTGCCATCATTTGCTTCTGTGTCTGGCTTGGCTCCTTGGCAAGGAGTCCTTGCAGTGGTACTACAGGGGTAAAGCAAGTGTCTGCTGCATAGTACAGGCCCAACTTGTGTCAGTGTTCAATTCACATTATTGATAGCACTTTTGCATGCTTGGACCAGCCACAAACTTACCGTATTAGAAGTATTTTGCTACCATATACCGTACTTCTTGCAAGAATGCTACTGTAGATATTTGACAGTACAACTACCGTAGGCTCTCACAGCTCATGTTAAAACTTCAAATTCATGCCCACTGTCACTCCAGGAAGAGCCACCTTCAGCCAACCCTGCAGGCTCTCAACATCCGTGCTGATGTGTGTCACAGCAGGCAGGCCCTTCAACCACTTCACTGCGCCTTCAGTCACTTCACATCCCGTAATATCCAACTTTCTCAAGGCAGTGAGGTGCTTGAGATGCTCAACGCCGGAATCCGTAACCCCATCCGGCAGTATGAGCAACTTCAGACTGGTGAGTGACGACAAGTGCCGCAAGCCGTCATCTTTCACCCCTAAATCCCCCAAATAGAGCTGTTCAAGGCCTGTCAGCCTCCCAACGTGCACCATGCCAGCAGATGTTACCGCCTCGCAGCTATTGAGCTCCAGAATCTTGAATGAGAGCCCTGTCAACAGCTGCAAACCAACATCCGTCACTTGGGTGCCACTGAGAATGAGAGTCCCAAGGCTGCTCAGAGCCCCAATGCCCTCCAGATAGTTGTCAGAAACGACCGTCTCTCTCAGTGATAGGCGCTTCAGATGTGGCAGCTTGTAGAGGCGCTTCATACCCTTTCCGCAAAAACCACTGGAGTTGTCCAAATCAATGGATGTCAGGTGCGTCATGGCAGCCACATGGTGGAGGGTGGTGTCTGAAATGTTGGAATGATTCTTCAGCTCCAGAGTAGTCTTGGTTGATGCCTCTCCACTCCATGCGGACAAAATTGCCTGGGAAGATGAAAACCACACAAAGTATACAATTTTAGGCTATGATCCAATAGTATGCATATGCAGAACAGAACTGATTGCACATGTGGAAGACGTAGTGGCAAAAAGAACTATTACTCACCTCCCATGTGTGTATCATTTCCGCCAAACACTGGTCGGAGGATTCTTCCAGCCCACTTGTGCGCTCCATATGTTTAGCATCCTCCTTCTTTAGTTCTTCTACCTCACCCTTCAATGCTGCCAATTCGGCTTTCATTGCTTCCCCTGTTGTCACCGACTAGGAAGAAATGAAATGAGGGAGGAGGAGAATGGGACACGTTGAGAGAAGAGCAATATGGCATGACAACGTCACCTAAGGGAATGAGAAGGATCTGTTGAGCAAGGGACGGATGCGATTGCAAGGGTTGTTGAGAGCTATACCATGAATGATGTGGTTGAAGCTCTAAGGTTCTTCAATCCATCCTTTAGAGGTAAGGCATGCTGATGCAGCCATGCTCTGGCTTGTGCGGTGGAAACACCCATCCACCAGAGCAGCAGTGTCAGAGGAGCCACAACTGAATACACCATCTGAACCTGTCAATGGATTGCCATTGTAGAAAAACGGGCACAAGTCGTAAAAGACAGGTACAGCTAGCGAGATGTGGCAACAGACAGCTAACATGGCGTATGGTGTGGCCCTCCAGGTTATGCTACACCCCCATTCTGGCTGACATACCAGAGCGTAGAGCACGTGGAGGGGCGTGATGAATGACTGGACATGCTGAATCTGCGAAAAGGAAAACAAAACAGCAACGATAAGCTTTATAGTTACAGGCAAGTGGTACATACAATGCACAACGGAGCAAGCCATAAAAGAGGCATGCACGGAGCATATGCGTGCATTCACGATGTGAACATCATATAGCATGCTGAAAAAGGGATAACGATAGTCATTGCCATACCATGTTATTGCTTTTGATAATGGAGGAATGACTGTCTTTGGAAGAAACAATCATGAACGCTGTCACGGCAGCAGTCAAAACGATTGTGAGCAGCCATGCCGCCCCCATCACCATCCGATCCATGCTGCTTGAAAGAATCTTCCACGCTTAGTGCATGCAGGGGTGGTGCGGGAAGGAACGGAATCAATGCTCGTTCATTTCACTACATATTATGATGGGAAAGGATATAAGAAGAAACGAAAGGATGCATGGCATGACTCTGCTGGTGCATGCATGTGGATGTGGTGCAGAATAGAGAGAAAATCACACGTCAGTATGACAGCAAGGGAGTCATAGGACGTGATGAGGCGAGTTGCATTGGAGAGTCGTAAGAGTAATGCTCATGAACGCGGATGAACGTCGCAACTCAGTGCGTGTGGAGGTGCCAGGTGCCAGATGGGAGCATCAGTCTGCCCGTCGAGGCCAACTTGGCAGTACACCACGGAACGCAATACACAGCAGCCCGGACGTCGGCGAGAATGACATGAATAACTTGAGCTTTTACTCTGGAGAAAGTGGTCGGAGCAATATCAGAGCTCGAGCCTTCCTCGCGAAACCTTATCCAGTCAATCATCAGCCTCATCCTTTGCCACGCCTCTCTTCAGCTGCACCCATCATCCTGGCCGTTCATTGCATTTTCATGCACCTCCGATTCTAGCCATTTGGAACACGCATGCACTTGGAGTCGTTGCGACTCCCATTGGGATTCCATCGGCTTTCTTCCCTCGCCTTACGCCTGCCCTCCGCGCACCCGCGCCTCCTGCCTGCCCTACGCTGCTCCGCGGACTCGAGTTTCGAGATTGCGGACGTTCCTATTGGTGCAATGAGCTCCCGCGGCTGTGTAGCTTATTGGGGAGGCCCGATTGCATGATGGTTCTCACAGCGACAGCTGTCGACATCGAATTAGTTATAGGGAGTGAAATATATGGTAGGTGGTCCTCGTTACGTCAGATCCTTGCGGTGTCATCCATTGTAAGCCTCCTCGAAGCCATCGCGCGCGGTCGTTACAAAAGTGAACCACTTCGCACGTTAGCCGAGATGCGTCGAGCTCTCGTGGCCTTGCATGATGGTTTCTCGCAGTCACAACTGGCTTCACCGAGATTAGCTGCTGGGAGGGCGAAATACATGGTCTGGTTCGGTGATCTCGTGTCGTCAGGCCCTCCCATGTAATACACAATGTAACCACCTCGGGTCGTTTTTTCAGGATCGCTTCACAGGTGAACCTCTTCGCAACCTTCACCACCATATGATAGAGCCCAGCAGGAGCATTTTGTGGAACCGGATTGGCGGGAGATTCCTTGCGCGAATTCTCGACTTCGCTGTGACGTACAGTGAAGTGGAATGCGAATCTGGTTACCAGAAGCAACCTGACTGATACACATGCGGTATATTGAAAATGCTCAAGATTCATCCTTGAAATCTAGTTTCTCCCGTCAGCCATAATTTTTCTTGTTCCGTTCACGCCTCGTGCTCGCCCGTTGAAACCGCTCTCACTCCACGTCGCCACATCAAGTTCTGCTATGACCTCAATACATGACGACGCAATGCACGGCGCAATCGCGGCAGGCGTGGGGTTGACGGATATTCTGAGAGCAGCGAATGATTTTTGCGAATCACGGAGTGACGGCAAGTGATGGAAACGGATTGCATGCGATTAGCGGGGTTGACACATAGTGCGGCAATTCGAGCGAGTTCGTGCGCGGTATACGGGAGGATCATGCTGTGTGAAATGCGCGGATGCGCGAAATCAGCCTGTTAGGGTTAGGCCGGCGTGGCATGTATCGACCTGAGGAGGAACTTCTATCCGCGAGGGTTGCTTCCCTCACATTCGCAGCTCATTTGCCGACAATACAGCAGCACATTCATATCTGTATGCCGCAAACTCGTCATTTCATTCTCTTCTCCGTCCCCTCTTGTATTCTCCTGTCGTTCCTGTTCGTACTTTTATTCTCCTGGTTTTGAGCTCTTCTTTTCTTATGTCCATTTTGCCTACCGTTCCGACTCTGCTCCGTTTCTCTTGTTTTTCTGTCTTATTCCAGTTCTCGGTTCCCCGCCTCTCTTTTCTTTTCACCCATCTTTGAAGACTTTTGAAACTCAGCACGCATTAACCCCCTGCTATCCTTCTGCATAATGCCTATCTGTATCCCTATACCCCCACCACTACCCCCTTCCCCCCGCGTCTGCCCTTTCAGCTTCTACCTCCCCATTGTCTTTCACTTGCGCAGCCTTTCCCTTTCCCACATCCTTTCCGTTCTCCATCTCCGTTTCCTTCCGTTTTCTTCCCTTTCCCTCTCCCCCTTCCCGATTATTTCCGACCCGTTTTCTGCCCGTGGCTGTTAGAATCTAGTAGCAGGAATGATTGTACTAGGAAAACGTTGGGTACAAGTATCAAACCCTAAAAGGGGCTGTACCCCATAGTGGCTACCCCACTACAGCCTAAACATATATAGTATTTATGATTTGACACACCTCTATAGGCAAAGTGGGGGAGAACAAGGGGTCACAAGACCAGTCAAGAGAAGCAAAGCAAGCTCAGGGTGGATCACAACGTCACCACACATACTGAGCACAAGCAAAGGGCCACAAGGCCAGTTCACATGCAGAGGTGTATATGCAACAACAACAGCACAGTGATCTCTACCTAGCGGAGCAAGCATGCAAGTATATATATAGATCACAGTACAAGCAAAGTCTACAGCAAGTGAAGAAACGTGGGCACAAGGCCTAACAAAGTGCAGAAACGCTGATGATCACCAGACGGAAGTGCCTTGGTGAATATATCAGCAGTGTTGGCCTGAGTGGCCACGTGAGCAAGACGAAGCTGACCAAGCTGCTGCAACTCTCGAGCCAGGAAGTAACGCAGAGCGATGTGCTTCAATCTGTGCTCCAGTCTGTGCTCCTGACACAAGGCAATGGTGGCCTCGTTGTCTACGTACAGCACTGGAGGAGAACGAGGCCGCTCTCCCAAGTCGGTCAGCAGGTAGGTAAGCCAGCGTAACTCCTGTGCAGCCATGGCTGTGGCGTAGATCTCAGCCTCGCAACTGGAGCTGAGAACAGAGGAAGAGCGTGTAGACCGCCAAGAAACAGAGCCAGAGCCAAGACTGAAGGTGTAACCCTGTGACGACCGCTGCGTAGCCTGGTCGTCAACCTAAGAAGTGTCCGAGTGCCCAGTGAGGACAACGTCGCCCCGTCCTCCAAGCTCGAGCCCCATGCACGATGTACTGCACAAGTAGCGTAGTACCGTCTTAGCAGCATCCATGTGCACCTTTCGGTGTCGACCAAGAGCCACGTAGCGAGCCAGAAGGCCAAGAGGGTACGCAAGGTCAGGACGAGTGCAGGTCATCAGGTACATGAGGCAGCCCACTAGCTCTAGGTAAGGACCACTCGGCTCTACAGACTCGTCCGAAGGTGGAGCTGAGAGCGAGTGACCTGTAGCTAGAGGAGTGGGCTGTGCTGAGGACCAGGTGAAGCCGAAGTGCTGAAGGACCTGCTGCACCATGTGTGACTGAGTCAGTGTGATGGTGCGGCGTGACCTGTCCCGGGTGATATGCAAGCCAAGGTAGCTGCAAAGCTCACCCAGGTCTGTGCACGTGTGTCTCTTCTGCAGCTCCGACTTCACCAGGGCGAGAGCCTCAGTGTCAGCAGTGGCAAAGACCAAGTCGTCGACGTACACGTGGATGTAGAACGGCGGCAGCGAAGTGTTGGTGCGCAGAAATTGCGACGGGTCAGCAGTCAACGGAGCAAACCCAAGAGCCGCAAGTGTCGTCCTCAGTGTGTCGTGCCACTCACGCGGCGCTTGGCGGACACCGTAGAATGGTGGGCGGCGCAGCCAGATCTCCTCGTGCAGGCTGCCCTGTAGGAAGGCTGTGCTGAAGTCAAGAGAGTGAAGCTCGTAGTCACGCTGAGCGGCAACGTGCAGCAGCACCCGAAGAGTGGTCATCTTCGGGGTGGGGGACAAGGTCTGGAAGAAGTCAATTCCCTCCCACTAACTGAAGCCTCGAGCAACGTAACGAGCCTTGAAGGCAGGCGGAGAACCCGGCGGCCGCTTCACCCTGAAAATCCACATGCCATCAACGATGTTCGCCCCAGGAGGGGGAACCTCGTTGACGTACGTGCCTGTGGACTTCCAGGATGCCATCTCTACGTCCATGGCTGTCTGCCACTGAGAGGAGTACTCACCCGCGATCGCCTCAGCGTAAGAGCGCGGGGTCGGGATGTCTGTAACATCTGGGTCTCCCTCCGGGGCAAGCAGCATGGACACGAGATGTGGCGCAGCGGCTGCAAGACACTCAAGGTCCTCTTGCCTGTCCTCAAGAACGTCCGTGCCAAGAGCACACTCACCCCCGACGGACGGAGGACAGACAGACTCAGACTCAGCAACAAGACTAGCGGCGTAGTCTAGACGACAGGCAGCAGCAAAGTCAACAAGCTCAGAGACTAAGGCAGACGCAGCAGCAGACTCAAACGACGGGGCTGTGACAACTGTGGCTAGCAGACGCGTGACAGTAGGGTGAGCAGCACGAGCGCGGTCAGACTCAGGGTCAGCAACGACAGGCAGAGAAGACGCAAGAGGAGACGGCAGGGGAACACGCTGCGGAGCAGAGGAAGGACGCAGGGCCATGAGGTGTGTGCCTGGGACAGCCGGCAGACGCCCACGAGGAACACGACGACCAGTACGACCAGTGCGGACAGTGCGAACAGGCCAGACAGGACGAGACGCAGGCTCACGACGCTCAGCAAGACCGCCTGTCAGCTCAGTGTAAGGAGAAGGAGCAAGCAGCGGTGA